CTAAAACCTGCAGGCACAAAGCCACCATAAAACCACAAATTCAATGTATTATATACTAAGATGGTTCTTCCTAGAGAAGGTTCTTCCTATTATAGAACTTCGTATTTTGGTTGCCTTTTAGATGCAAACCACAGCAGTCCTTCTTCAAGGTTTGGTTCATGATATCATCCACGCACAGCGTGCGGCTAACTGCGACGTACCGCATAATATTAGCTTTTATAGATGACATGCATGAAACGATATCATGCACGAAAGTAGGCACAAAAGTTATACAACGTTATAGGTATAAACAGAGCTTTTGATGACACAGATTCATTCAATTTTCTACTTCGCAAGTAAATATAATGAAGGTTTCCTTGTTCAAAGCTATAACTGTGCCATTATTACCCAGAATGACGCATACTTCTGTATACACTTGCTATCGCTAGAAGAGAGTAGAGCAGAAACTGATTACTATTGTTCCTATACAAGGTCAAGCTAGATAACCGCAGTCGGCATGACGCTGGTGCGCAACTTTAAAAACAATAACTCAATTACATGCTTGCATGCTTTTTATATACGCATGCAATGCTGTTGGTCGACTGCAAAATTAAAAACAAATTTGATATTGGACGATTGTATACCTATAAATAATAAATTTCAACATGAAACTATAACAAGCCTACTTTTCACCAACTAAAGCGTCAGAGATAAAAAATACTCTCTGAATCAGTCAACAGTGAGATTTTAGTAAAATACTCGATATCAAACTCTCGGCCAGTCGAATGGAAGAAATGGATGATTTTATCATAAAGGTGATTGTGCATGATATCTCACCCAGGGCGAATGCTATATAGGGGCTCATAAAGTATATCGAAGACTCTAGAATCTCCAAAACGTATAGTTTCAAGTTGGTAAAAATTATTCGGCCAAACGGGAAATAACAAAATGTACGCAAAAATCGCGACGAGCGATTTCTCCTATAAACTCTAAAGAATTAGACCTAAAACTACTTCGGGAATAATCTATATTTAAGATATTACCATAACGAAATAAACCTTTTTATACAATGCAGATGTTTCTATGATGCTTCTGTAAAATATAATTGTTTTAGGAGTGGAGTTACCCTTATACTTTGATTCATATCTCCCTTTATATCACCCATCAATTTGGAGGATAGCACATGCACCTCGAGGTAAAATTTTATATCAAAGTCATTTTATATCAAAGTCACCTTTGATGCAGTGCGTCATTGCGCGCGCGGCTTATGTCTCTAATGCACAAATCAAGTAAAACAATTAAATAGCATTTGTCATGGTCAAAAGTCATTCATCTCAAATATATAATTATAATCACTCGAATAACGAGATGTCAAAAATCATAACATTCCTATAAAGAATTTTGCTCATGTCATGGGTAAAAATTTCGTAAAGAATTCAAAAAAGGTTAAATATTTTACAGTCAATACCAGCAATGGGCAATACAGTCTGTTCCTAATTGGTAGAGATTTCCGACAATTATACAATCAATTAATTTCAGCGATTTCTATATAGCTATTCTGAATGACATACCACTGTCAGTAGACCAAGTAATTTTACGTCAATGTGGTATAAGATGTACATGATAAAAAGCAAATAGTCTATGCATGCATACCCTTATATAACAAAGCCCTGCATATCCCACTATTCAATTATATATTTATACACATACCATGCATAAATAACATGGGAAATACATAGAAAACGTCTGATATCCCCGACAGTCCTAACATATTCCACAATGACATCAGCTGTTCCCTAACTCACTTATAACTATATGATATCTATATATACCTGTATATAGAATTATATATCGTTGAATGCTATAAATTATATGGGTATAATCCTTTTAAAATTATGCCCGCTGCATGTTTCGTAACTGATATAAATAAAATCTGTCTTAATGCCATGTAAGGAATCTTTCGAAAAGGAATATTTCTATCTAAAAAACAACGCTGGAATATACTGGGGACAACAAACACTGTTATTTACTCGCATCTGCGAATCTGAAACATGAGCTTTCTAAATGTTCCACTAATTATTATGTGGTTTATGGGTATACATGGCTGATTTGGTCAAACAATTTGAAGTTTCGCTAAACACAAAATTCATTATTCTTAATTTGAAATTAGTGCCCATATGACGCCAGTTATGACGCAAATAAAATCATATAGGATCGATCGTTAAATCGATAAGATGACTTCGCGTGATATAACATAAGACGACCTAAATAAAATGTCGAATTTCTGGCAACAAATCGCTTGAACAAACATTTTCTTAACTTAATGAAGCAGCCCTTTTTATCAGCAGCAGAACTGCTTTTTATTAATTTTCAATGTTTATATTGTGCAAAATGATGTAATTCAACCTTTCAAAGAGATATATGCATGGCTTAAAATTATATTTGCTTCCCTTGGAAAATATCTTGAATATATCCTTGAATATCCACAAAGTTGATATTATTTTCAAACGAACCATTTTCAAACCCGCCATCTTGGATAGGCAGCAGATTAAAATTTTTTTCAAACTTTCATATAACTCCATAGTTCAGTGAGGCGTTTTGGCACTAAATTGATTGATCTGGTCCTTGATTGAAGCTAGGTGACATGTTTTTAAAATACAATTCTTAAATATACCTTTTATAAAAACCAACAAATCCATTTATTAACGAATGCATAAGCGTGGAATATATTTAGCAACCTGCATGTCTATAATTAACATTTCATGCATAAATGCACGCAAATCCGAACACGTACTTATATAGTTCCAAAAATTAGGATTTTCCGCAGTCTTTAGTTTTTCTTTAATTCTATTTAATTTATCCCTTATAATGCATCAGTTTTATGCAAAATAGGTTCATGCAAATTATTCTAAACTTGGTTTTCTTGGGATATTACACGCGGTTGCGAGTAGATATTAGTTTTATGTTCGAGTGGCAAAAAGATTGTATTTCAAACGTTAATTTCGTTTTATATACGAACCAAAGACTATTTGTGTTTTCACAACAACAACGCTGAAAAGGGCGGGGAAATGTTTGAAACACGTTTAGGGGTTTCACTCGTAAACGTGACTTACGAAAAATATCCGCACTGTACCCCGGAGGTAGTGGCGTATAAGTTCTACAATTAAGTGTTTTAGTTCTCAGTAAAACACCCCCAAATTTTGGCGATCAAAAACATCGGATATCGAGATAGATCCGCCATCTTGTTTTATAGTAATAAGAATCTAGTTACGTGGCGTCAAAGTAGGGTTGCATGAGGCTTGAAAAATAACAACTACACGTTTACGCTTTAGTTTAGAACTCTTACAATTCAAACGTTATAATTTGAGATACGTATACGCATATCCAAAATGGCGGGTGGAAGAGTTAACAAAAATCCGTAAACAAATTTTGTAAATAATCATGGTAATTTCAATTTATGCATGTTCCTTGAAAATTAAACAATTATAACGTCGAAATATTTTGAAGTGGATCATTTTATTTTCTATTTAGAACTTATCCGCCGCCTTTTACGCTAAACGCATTTCGAACAACCGGCCTCTGACGAATTCCAAACTGGAGTATTTCGAGTTGCAAGTAAAGCTCTTTACCTTTAGGCTGGGAACGGTTGTCAGAGTGAAAGAATAGGTTGCTAACATCTCTTGTAACATTCATCTCCAGTAGTCCATTAAAATAAACAAAGAAAACAAGAGGCCAAAACAAATAAATAAATAAAGGACATAATAATACGAATTTAACAATTAAAACATTTTCATCACTATATAATTTTCTACTTCAACTGAGAAAAGCTTAGCTACAAGTATATATTCTCACGTAGTTTGCCCAACTAGAGACACCTACTTAAAATTTGGTCACGCTAGAATTGCAGAATGCACTCAGCCTCGTACCCAGGCACTTTAAATAAATTAAACGTTGCATTCAGTTATTGTATAGAAGTCAGTTGAAAAAAAAGGCGCGCGGGGGGGTGCTTGGGGTAGTTTTGTCCAAGCACCCCCGCGCGCTCGCCTTTTTCAGCTGCCCTCTATACAATAACTGAATGCAACGTTATATATTTACTATTAAAACCCCTGGGTACGAGGCTGGAATACACAGCTGTCAGAATTCATTCACAAAAGCAAACGGAGGTATTTAAGGAGAGCTGTGAGCAAGAGTTTAAAAATTTCTACTTTTCACTATATTTCAAATCATAGTGAACCCAGAAAATATACCCGATTCTAATTGGCCAGTCTGTCACTAAATAATATATATTTAAAACTCTGATGAAATACTCAGATATTTAAAACTGAGTTAACTCTGATGCATAACCTGCCCTATATGCATGCAGGTATTTTTCTTCTTATTCTTCCAGTCATTTATGCTTCATTAAAAAGTAAATGCAGCATTTTCTTTAGTTCTGGTTAATTGAAAACTTAGGCTGAGAATATTCGTGAGCTCTGTTTGTACCGACACACCTGACACACGCATGCACGCACATGAGAAGCAGCACGTACAGAATATATAATCTCAGCAGACATTGATCCTCTCCCACTTACTGCCCCTTATCATCAATTCTGATCGAACAAAAACTTCTTTGTAACGGCTGTCAGATCATGGATATTGCAAAAAACGAAAACTCGCACGCAATTATAAGTACCATTGGCTATGTACTGTTAAAATCGTAAATAGCTTTGCCGCGTTGGGGGGTAGAACAAACAGTTATCCCCATAATAAAACCGCCATGCACCTACGCTGAAAAACAGCAATTATACAAGGCTGAGAGAATTGTCCAATGCCACTCACAGATAAAGTGTAAGATACTTTCATTTAAGCACAAAAGACTTAATGGAAACCTGCAGCGTTCACGTCATCCTTGCTTACGTATTTTATCGCTTATGGATACAAAACACGAGCAAGGAAAATAACAACACACACATGCATGTTGTCATAATTATACACAACACAAGCTCGAAACAATGTTTCAGGCGATAAAGTGGATATTGCCTACTCGGATAAAACTTGATGGGAGCAACGATTTGCATGCATAAATTGATCCAAAAAAGGTGTGCAGGAATCGATTTAAATCAATGTTATGCAAGGACACGAATATAATTGCGACAGTTATTATTGTGAGATTTATCTTCTGGCATATTCTACACTACGACTACGGGTTACTTTCTAGTAAAATCCTTCAGAAAATGTGGTTCAGTTGAATCGAGCTGAATCGAGCTGAATCGAGCTGTCTGTACAGGAATCGATTTATTTGTCTGTAACCAATCCTTACAACAATGCTTCTCCGCTCTCGAGGGCTTATATTTGTTTCTCTAATGCTCGTTTTCGCGACAAATTTCAAAGGTGAGATTGGAATTATTTTCTAACAGATATTATAATGCTAGCACCTTTTTTTGCGGCCTGTAACTATACTGTATTTGTTTTTAAACATACAAATTCCAGTTAAAGTATTTTATAGTGTATCAAAACACAGGATATCGTTCATTTTGTATACACTTCACTAAACACGTAACAATTAATAAGACCATGCATGCATTATCGGGAACGATGTCTATAGTGTGTAGGCAAAGAAAAACAATTTTGAAGTGGATACAAAGTTTGAAGTGAAAGTCTCACCGTTATGTGTAAGGTAGTCTGTCTGAAACATTTAAAGCGATAACCAGACTCTGTCGATGATTCAGTTATATAATTAAGAGTACAAAGACCTTTGTAAATCGGTCCTTTAATCATATAGTTTAAGCCCTAAATGTGGCTTGTGCTTTACAGTTTAAAAATGCCCATGCTAATACCCAAATGCAATCGTCAGTGCTTTAATAAAGCTGCCAGGTTTGTGTGCGAAGCAGATACTGAACTGAACTGAACTGAAAGATATCTCAAATGCATGTGACGCCTGACGGTCGTATAAGGTCCTATTAAATACAATAAACTCTCGCGTGATCTGTAAAAAATTAGTCCATTCTACTTTGAAATTGACAAATTGTCTGATTTTTGTCTGACGTATACATACCGAAAATCACATGTATATTTGTCATGGACATATCGATTAAACTGTTTTTGAAAGTCTTGAATGCATGGCGCCGTTATAGTTTAGACACGAACCTGGCAACTACATTAGATTAGAATATTGAATTATCAATTCCTTGTTATATCTTCTAAAAAATACGTGGCACTAATTAATAAGCGGCGATATATATTGGCTGCTAAAAACATAATCTTCGACAAAAAAAATTACCCTAAGCGATTTGTCACATAGCAATGATAACCCCAATTACCGATTGTGTTTATCCAAGATCGGTTGTCTAAGTCCAATATACGAATGGTACTAATATCGTATCAATCGTTAATATACGAAAGGAATACTTGCCGTTTGTGAGCACGGTAAACAATAGTGAATAGACAAAATTACGAATTCGTGTACGTGTGATGGAGAGCATGCAGTTTATATTTTGTACTTTATATTATACAAGAGACTTTCAAGAGTTCTATAGACATAGAGTTATGTTAGTTTAGCATTATATAAATGCTATAGTGACCTTGCTAATGTCCATCAGCTCATGTCCAATAATGTGTAACCATGGTCAAGTTGATTTGTGTGTATCATATTATTACTATACACCTTTTAGCAAACCCAAAATTATGACTGGCATTGACTGCGATCGCCACCAGTTAAGTGCATGATCTCTGTGAAAAACATAGGCTATAGACATAGTGATAAATATGCATGTGTCATGGCGAAAGCTAAAATGCTTTTTTTGAGTTATAAGCTATATAAAATACCATTTACGTTCTGCTGTATGGTCAAAATGAAGTTATAATGGAAATTTCTGTTCGTTGTGGTGACTTCAAGAAAGCCAAAAAATTTTTAAAATACAAAAACAACTACATGTCATTCGGCGAAAAAACAGATACATTATCGATAACTTTTTTGTACTTCTGATTTAGCCAGAGTCTTGAAATTTCATCAAAAAAGAATTTTTCCATTAGCTTCCTTTTAATACACAGTCGAACGTTTGGAGTCAAGTATTCCAGTTACAACTCGAGAAAACTACAAGGCAATTGCTGAAAATCCCTCTTAAGTTATCCTCATATAGTTGGTACAGCATGCATGTTTCGCCTCGCTGCATCCTACATTTTTATGTTTTTCTATTGTAAAAACTTGGCAGGCGACCAAAATTGGTCTGAACAATAAGATAAAAGTCCCACAGGACAATACCTGGGTACTGACTAATGATGCAGAAATTTCAAGCATGCACCAAATTATATAGACCAATACGTTTTGGTCACGTATTGGTCAGGCTGCTTTAGTGCTGCTTTCCACTAAAGGCTGTTTTCCACTTACGCGTTTTTCATACGCACGTACACGCACGTAAAAGTCTAAATCCTTATACCTGTTTCCTTTGAATAAAATAAGTGAATAAATCGAAGGAACTTAGTTTTCTGCATATTTTAGTATGCATTAGTTGACCTAGATGTTAAGTAATAAAAAGTTAAAAGCATTTAAAATTTTCCGTACGTGTACGTGCGTATAAAAAACGCGTAAGTGGAAAGCAGCCTTAACGCGCTTTTCATACGCACGCTTACACGCACGTAAAACTCTAAATCCTTATGCATGTCATACTTTTGAAGAGCTATATAGGTGAATAAATCGAAAGAGCTTAGTTTTCTGCACATTTTAGCATGCATTAGTTAACCCATGTTAAATAATAAAAATTTGGCAGCATTTAAAATTTTCCGCGTGTAAAAAAACGCGTAGGTGGAAAACAGCCCTTACTTTGTTCAAGTAAATATAATTTTTTATACATTGTTTTTAAAATCACGAGAAATGCCAATCTTTATACCCGCAGGGTATAGTCTGGGTTCAAAATACCACGTAGAAGTCATCACGTATTCCGTGAACCGTATTGCTGTCCCTAATATAGCTGTGTTCCAGGGGGGGCACTTCTGTCTACTGCGCATCCTCTGTGTGACGCATGGACAGAGCTTGCGCAAAAACTTTTTAAGTGGTATTCTGTGGATTGTCAATATTTCGCCCTTTTTGAAAGTATTGCCTTTAGCAGAGAATTTAAGCATTGAGAAGTCCACTGCGTTAATTGGCTTCATTTCCCCGGTCAAGTTTAAGTACATGGATGGTAACAAACGGCATTAATATACGCATTCTCATTATATGACGAAGATAGTTGCTGTTTAAGCATTGTTTTATACATCGCTTGCATCGTCGTTTACCATATATTTGGTTCAAGTTTGGTAGTTTTTGAGTGGACGTATCATGTCATTAATCTTCTATTCTTTCTTTGACAAAAATTGTACAGCAAATGAAGATGCCGCAAGCGGAGACGGAGGAGGGTCAGGCGAAAGCGGTGATGAAGAAAGAAACGAAACAATGACAGATGCCCCCAGTGATGGTGAAGAACCGACAGAAAGAACAAGCGACGAAGAAAATGAAAACAAAAATGAAACTCTTGTTGCTAGTGGACAAGAGGAATCTGGCGACGACGAGAAAGAATATGGTAACACAAAACTTGATGAGAATCCAACTAAAGAGATAGATTCTAAAGACACACGGGGCAATAGCACGTATTTAAACGCAACATTAAGCATATTGAATTATTCTAGTACAACGGAGACACCACTCGACGATTACAAATTTAAAAATGAGAAAAAAGAGAATAACACAAAATATGATGATGATGATAATCCAGGCGAAAAAATAAATTTTGAAACCACACCAGGTAATACCACATATGTGAATATGACATTGAGCATGCAGGATTACAATAAAACAGCAGAAACATCACTTTACGGTAGTGATGGATTTGAGAACAAGACAATGGTTAATAACACAAAATCTAATGATGAGAATCCAATCGAAGAAGTGAATTCTGAAGCAACACCAGGCAATACCACATATGTGAATATGACATTGAGCATGCAGGATTACAATAAAACAGCAGAAACATCACTTTACGGTGGTGATGGATTTGAGAACAAGACAATAGTTAATAACACAAAATCTAATGATGAGAATCCAATCGAAGAAGTAAATTCTGAAACAACACCAGGTAATACCACATATCTAAATAGGACATTGAGCCAGGGTTACAATAAAACAGCAGAAACATCACTTTACGGTGATGATGAATTTGAGAACAAGACAATAGTTAATAACACAAAATCTAATGATGAGAATCCAACTGAAGAAGTAAATTCTGAAGCAGCACCAGGTAATACCACATATCTAAATAGGACATTGAGCCAGGGTTACAATACAACAGCAGAAACATCACTTTATAGTTATGATAGATTTGGGAACAAGACAATAGTTAATAACACAAAATCTGATAACACAAAAGCTGATGGCGAGAATCCAACCGAAGAAATAAATTTTAGATACACACCAAGCAATGCTACGCATGTAAATACAACATTGGACGAGAAATATAATTGCACAAAAGTTACACTAGAGGTTGATGATGACAAAGGTGAAGATGATGACGACGACGATGACGATGACGACGACGACGACGATGATGATGACGACGACGATGATAAAAAGAATAAAAAGGATAAAAAGAATAAAAAGAATGATAAAAAGAATGATAAAAAGAATGATAAAAAGGATGATAAAAGCAAAAATCCAAAGTGTACAGATAACGATAAAAAAGATGATGATAAAAAGAAAGATGACGATGACGAAAAAGATGATGATAAAAAGGAAGATGATGATAAAAAGAAAGATGACGATGATGAAAAAGATGATGATAAAAAGGAAGATGATGATAAAAAGAAAGATGACGATGATGAAAAAGATGATGATAAAAAGGAAGATGATGATAAAAAGAAAGATGGTGAAAAAGATGATGATAAAGACGATGATAAAGATGATGATGAAAAAGATGATGAAAAAGATGATGATGATGATGATGATGCTGAAGATGATGATAAAAAGGATGACGATAAAAAGGAAGATGATAAAAAAGTTGATGATAAAAAGGGTGACGATAAAAAGGAAAATAAAAAGGACGATGACGAAAGCAAAGACCCAGATGACGGTGAAGATGATAAAAACGAAGATAAAGGTAAAGACACAAAAGGTAAAGATGACGTAGAAATCCACGTTTTTAGGCCACAGTGCTCTATATATGTAATAGTGTCCAAATTACTTTATATTCTCCTCAATTTAAGTAACTTTGGGTATACGATTTTCAAACTACACGCTTGTGTGGAATGCTTTCCACATGCAAAGAAATTTATTATTGTGTGGTCTTTTTCAGTCTATGTAGTCTGATAAAGTTTCTTATTCTTAAGAAAAAGCAAGACAGGAGTTAAACCAAAGAGCAAAAAATATTGATCCGAAAAATAGAACACAAATCAAGGTATGTTTTTCAGAAAATACAAAACAAAAATCCCGTGCCCTATGGCATAAATGTTATCACTCCAAAATCAGACACGCATAACTCCCTGATCATAAATAGCTTTAATGCTATTTTAAAAAGATAAAGGCCAGAAAAACCGGTTCTGCCATGGAAAACCGTGAACGAAACAAGGTTAATCCCACGAGATTCACTTTCGTCTTTAAGCTTAATTCACTATTTTTTAACTAGAATTTTTTCATGCATGTGTTGAAAGTGATTCCGCCTGTATCTGTGAAAAGGAATTGGTCGATTAAGTCGGCCTTGTCCGAGAGATTTTATACCACATTTTATTTGGTAAATATGTTGCTGCCCTGGCTGCTAGCTCTCTTTTAAATATAATTTCCGTAACAAGTATACTCATATCGATTTCGATGCCCAAGCAAAAAGCATAAAATGGTACAAAGAATTCCACGCAAAAAACGTCATCACATATTAAACAAAAACTGTATCAATTATTGTCAATTATCATCTATCATATCTATGAATATTAATTTCTGTTGATATCTATTTGACTATATTGTACTTACCTAAGACTGCGGAAGGCTTGAGTTGATCATCTCGAGAAAGGCTGTTTGGGCGTTATCTCCGTAAATAGTTCGGAAAAACATCTCTAACAATTAAGTGAAATAATTCAAATTGTTTGAAATAATTTCAACACATATAAGCCGTCTTAACACCTTTTCACCCGTTTTTTTCGGTTTGGGGAATGAAAGAAATTTATGGTCAAAATGGTAGACGTGCATCATACCATAAAAACCTAATTGAATGGGTATTCGTAATGAAAATACTACCAAAGTCCTAAAATATTACATGTTAACCTGTTCCATAGGATTTACAAATTTGTAACCTCGGATACCTTAAACACATTCTATATCTTCAATTCACAGGAATTCGTTGCATTATTCCAAAAAACGCTTTCAGACGATAATTCAGCGGATCCTAACAAGGTAATGAAAATAAAAAAATCCTATTATATGTAAATGTTTGTAAATGTAACGGCAACAGCATATTACATCTTAACGAGATTCAACTGGAACTAAGAACTACACCACTGGTGCATGATCTACATTATCTTTTTTCCTATTAATTGAGATTACTCTAAAATTCTACCCTCACTCTACCCTCAAACATAGGCTAGCTTTCCTACACATGCTGCATCTATCTAACGCATGTATTTCTATTTTTAAGTTGGAACAGGACATATCATCATTGACATTAATTGAGGAAACTGGGAAACAAATGGCAACTAAATTGCGGCCGACGCGATCGAATCCCGCCAGTGTGGGAGTGATCGAGGCCGAAAAAGGTATGTACAATGCAAAGGCCGCTTAGTTTGGTCTGATGAACTGTGAAGTTATCCAAACATTTGAAATGAGGTTTCGTATCAGGGCTATATAAAACGAAAATTGTAGGGCAAAATTCATAACATAAAATCTCAGTCAGAAGCTAACATTTTAATTTGCTTATCAGTGTTTGGTGTGGTAGCATTCCGTGGCCCAAGAAAAGAAGAATTTAGATTTCCTGACATGATTGAAGGCTTAACGAATACTTCATCTTTCCCTGCCCGAGTGCAACTGCCGTCTGCTGTGCTAAATAGTACAGGTAAGAATGCCAGGCAGTGGTCTTTCTTATCAGCCAGGCTTAGTGCAGTACAGCTGTCTCCTAACAGTCAGGCTTGGTGTGTGTACTTGGTACTTTTTCACTGAACTGTAACTAGGGTTTCATTTCTACACTGATTACAGCAATAAAGAGTTCATTCATGATTTTAATAAGCATGAGTACAATACTTCTAGTTTGAATAAAGGAATCCTTAAGGATATAGCAGTTCTTCCCAAAAGTAACACTGGTTAAAAGGCCATCGATGTGACTAATCCTGGATTTCAGTTGTTCATATGTATAGAAGTTTAGGCATTAGGGTACTCCAAAATCAGTTTTTTGATTGGCTATATATTATGATCTGTGTTTCAGGCAAAATACATAAATAAACAAACAAGAGTAAATAACGTAAATATCATCCACATTAGAACTTCAAATTATTGGTTTTACCGAATGCCGAGACCATGGGCTTGATTTGTCAAGGTTGCTAAGCATAATGACGTCGTTTGAATTTGTGCATTGTATTTCTCTGTTACTATTTAGGTGGTAATCTTAGCATGGTTTTCATGATCTTCACGGCGTCTTCACAAATGAGATTGCGGACGGGAGACGAAAATTTTCGGGTTACAGGAAAAGCTGTGGTTATCTCGATGTTTCCAAAACCCAAATTCCCATTTGTAAAACCAGTGGTGATAACTATTAGAACGAATCATATGGTAAGCGACAAGATTTCAAAGGAAATGAAATAAAACTAATTTAATCCTTTGTTATACAGTTGCGATTTATCTGTTTCTTAATGGGCATTTTTCAACAAATAAGCATTTTTCAACAATCTAGAATTCATCGAATGCAACATCAGTTTGCGTGTTCCTGATGGAAAACTCTACAGAGTGAGTAATAAATTCATAGAGTCGTGTCGTTAAATTAAATCTACGATGGCGCGCTGTTCTTGTAGAGTAAGAGTAAGGATGGTAACCTTCGAGCTAAATTAGCAATATGAAATCTTTATTTACTTTCCAGCAGAAATGGCAGTCGATTTGGAGCCTGGTCAAATAGAGGATGCAAACTAGTTCACAGCAACTCGTCTCACTCAACATGTCATTGTTTTCATCTGACAAGCTTTGGGATTTTAACACGATTCTCGCCACAAAAGGTGGGACTAGAAGTGCATGCCTTTTGGAGATTTGCAATCGTTTTAAAATCATGGAAAGTTATGCAGTTCAAAAAAACTTTATTATTATCTCATTTGACAGATTCCAAGTGAACATGGACTACCTCTAAGTATAATAACATACATTGGTCTAGGACTGTCGATATTCGGATGTTTTGCTACATTATTTGTGCATCTCATGCTACCGTAAGTAAAAGTGGTAGATTTTCATCAGAGGCATTTCATGTTAAAATTTTTACACTGATAGGAATAATTCAGTGATGACACAGTATGTCCACACAATACATGCACTTGGACATCTGCATGGGGGGCGGGCTGTATGAAAGCCGGATCGCGCTATCCATCGATAGTGGTTGACTAAATCTTAGTATTCCAAAATCGAGGATCTTCTTTACTACCTTTTGGTTACAAAGCTAGAATTTCATTGCTTTTCAAGCATTTTTAGAACGGTTGAAAAAATCACTATCCGATGAATATAGGGCTATTCGGCTTTCATGCAACCGGTCCTGTCCCAAATATCTAACTCTTCGACTCCACTCCAGGAATCTTCGCACGGAAAGGGCATTCATCCACATGAATTTGGTGATAGCGTTGGGGATCGCAAATATAGTTTTTCTCTTTCAAAATTTTCCCGACGTAAACACGGTAAGCGATTTAAGAGATGAATAAATTCACATTCGCTAAACGAAGAAGTTTACGAATGGACGGAAATGAAATTTTTTTCTGCGTAAAATATCTTGAGGTGCGTTGAAAAGGCTTTCATTTCTTTTAGATTGGTTGTACAACATTAGCATTTGTCTTACTCTTCTTTTATTTGGCCGCATTTTCCTGGATGATGCTTGAAGGAATCCACATTTACCGAATGTTTATTAAAGTTTTCGAATCAGGCAGAGACCCAAGGAAATCGTATTTTGCAGTAGGATGGGGTACGGCCTGACATAAAGAACTTTATAACAATTCTGCATTATGATATGAATTTGCAGGCAAAACATTATTCCGATTGCCAATGCTCCCATAGTTGGCCAATCTTAGGTTATAATTCCATGTTCAGTAAATCCAAGACACTATATCTGGTGGGGACTATCAGTAAATCAGTAAATCCAAGATATACACTACATCTGGGTGGGACTATCAGTAAATCAGTAAATCCAAGATACATTATATCTGAGTGGGACTATCAGTAAATCAGTAAATCCAAGATATACACTAAATCTGAGTGAAACTATCCAGGTGTACTTGAGACGTAAAACAGAGCAGGCACGGGCAGCACAGCGTCACTATCTGCAAGCTTATATTTTTACATATTCTTTTCCATGACAGGAATTCCCTTGGTATTGGTCATCATAACTGCGGCAGTTTTCAGAAACGATGCGACCTCCGAATATTAGTGAGTAACCTTTGTAATTAGGGTTGTTCAAAGTCCAATTCGCCTTTATTTTTGCACTTATTCCCTAAACCTTTGAAAACACACTCGGTTGAATCGAACGGATTCCTGGGCATAGTTAAACATTTAGGTAAAGGCGAATTTTTCGATCGAACAATATATTTCGCTTGGTTTTCTTTTCACAATACGAAAGATTCCCAGTAGAAACCGCACCCTGCGATAAAGATGATGGAAATTTTGATTTTGTTATGTGGTATTCTAGCTAGGGTTTAGACAACCGCCTAACCGGTTTTTAAAAAGCTAACTCCCCCATATGATTTACTATAAGATAACTATATACACTCTCTTATGATAACTCTGCTTGCTTTGTGATGATTGCATGTGTCTGCAAAGAGCATGCAAGAATGTGAATTGCTGAATGTTAATACAAATTTTGAAATCTAGCTGTTGGTTATCCGCAACAAATGGCGCCTTGTGGATGTTTGCTGGGCCAGTCTGCATTGTAATATTTGTAAGTCCAAATTATTGCACTTAATTTCTCAAAGCTTTTCAAAATTTCTAAGCTGAAACTGTTTTGTTCATATTTCAGATCAATACGTTGATGCTTATGGTCGTCCTGAAGACCTCGTATCATCACTCAAAACATGAAAAACACCTACGAAGGTCAGTTGTAAACACAACTGTGAACAATACCATCAATATAATAAATGGTACCCTATTCAATTAAATTATCTGGTCTTCGTTTCGGAACTACATCGATTTAGCACTGCATGATCGATAATTATGAGACTCTACGACCTTTTCTACACTGATGGGTGGGTGAGTACCCTGGGAATCATGAAATTACAATACAAAAAGTCTTAATTATTCAAAGTCCTAATTAGAGAAATTAGACGATATATCATATTTTAAAATTGGTACTATAATTTCCACGATGTTGTTTTAAAGTACAAAGAGATAACTAACAACATTATTGTAACAATATAGAACTATGGCAAAAACATTATGTGTCCTCCTACCGGTTCTTGGTGTCACGTGGATAATCGGAATTGTTACCTTTAATAAAGACATTATAGCAATGCAGTATATTTTTGCTATCCTCAATTCGCTTCAGGTACGAAAGCGTCGCTTATAAAATGTAATTTATGTATTTATGTAAACTATGTAACGGTAGTGTCGAACCAATAATCACTTAAATGGGCACCACTCTAGTAATTTAATGAGTGAACGCCAAAACTAGTAAAGTCATGGTTACTAATGCAACCCCGTATGATTGATAAAAAAAATTATTGGTACTCACTAACACTTGTTTTCTTTTCTGATTTTGAAGGGCTTGTTCATATTTCTAATATATGTGATATACAGTCATGAGGTAAGACTACTGCGCCCCTGAAAACAATTATGACGAGCATGTCATAATTGTAACTATGCATGTACAAACTGTAGTTATAATCAAAATTTATTAGCTACTACTTTTCACGTTATCATACATATAGCTATATAAGTACTACAAATATTGTGGAACATGTATATGCAATCCTTACTTACTTATATAGCTGGTAATTATTATAAAATCTGGTTGCGAATATTTTAGCGTAATATACAGGGTGTATCAAAAAAAATGTCCCAAATGTAAAATTTCCGTTTTTCAGGATATTTTGCAGAATTTGGCAAATTTTTGTGTTCCTAGAGATAGTTAAGACTTATCTGGTATACCTAGGCCAAGTTTGGTTTTTCATTAACAAAATTATGTTACCGGGGGGGTGGTTCCTTTCCACTGATATTGAGAGGGCTTGCGCGCGAAAATGTGAAGCTGAAATTGAGATATTATTTAGCTGTCTAAAAGTAGGAAAGCTTTTTAATAAACTGTCAAAGTTTCAGGAAAAATAATGCAAACTGGGAGCAACGCGCGACCCCTAAAAGTGACAAATATTTCATTGCGCGCAGTGGATTAAATGCATCGTTGATTTTAGCGTGACCGATCTCATGCAAGGCTGGGCAAATGAATAAATTAAAGCGAGAAACTGAACAAGAAGACGAAGCGATTTAATAACAAGATTTTTATTCTTGATGTTAATCCTCAACATTTCCACCATTTCTTTCTAAGCAAACTGCGGCTCGTCTGAGCATGGTAAACACTGAAAGGCGAACCACATTTGTCTGTCCTGCCTCAAATTATCCATTTCGTTCGAAATTCTTTCTTGCAAATCTCCTACGCTACCACCGGCAAATCTAGGCGAATGGGCAGACAAATGGTTCGCTGTTCAGTGTTTACCATGCTCAGACGAGCCGCAGTTTGCTTAGAATGAAATGGTGGACATGCTGAGGATTAACATTACGAATAAATCGCTTTGTTTTTGTGTTCAGTTTCTCGCTTTAATTTATTCATTTGCCCACCTTGTATGAGATCGGTCACGCTAAAATCAACGATGCATTTAATCCACTGCGCGCAATGAAATATTTGTCACCTTTAGGGGTCGTGCGTTGCTCCCAGTATGCATTATTTTTCCTGAGACTTTGACAGTTTATTAAAAAGCTTTCCTACTTTTAGACAGCTAAATAATATCTCAATTTCAGCTTCACATTTTCGCGCGCAAGCCCTCTCAATATCAGTGGAAAGGAACCACCCCCCCGGTAACATAATTTTGTTAATGAAAAACCAAACTTGGCCTAGGTATACCAGATAAGTCTTAACTATCTCTAGGAACACAAAAATTTGCCAAATTCTGCAAAATATCCTGAAAAACGGAAATTTTACATTTGGGACATTTTTTTTGATACACCCTGTATAGCCTCCCACAGGTTATATTCACTACTGACTGTATCATATACGCACTCGCATTGTCGCGATGTATGCAGACTAACATTCGTGTAAGTACCAGCCCGATGTGCCATTGATCAAAAGTAGGTAAGACAGTAATTAAGGGACACCGCGGAAATTGGTATAGGCTTAGCCGCAATTCTCGATACTTAGACTTCAAACTTGGTGAGGAAAAAGATTTATAAATATTCAAGAAAATATGTCTTGCACAAAAGATTTGAAGCTTGCTCACGGTAAGAACGAATCGTCTGAATTAATAACCTTGTGTATACTTTAAGCCTCAAAATGGCCATTTCACAGCGGTCAGATGTGTATGATGAGCTGTCAAAAGATTGGAGAATGCGTATTCAGAAGAAAAATTGAACTTTTTTAAGATATTCAAAAGGTTTCTCTTTGATAGGGCGATACAGAAATGCACAATTGTGAACCAGCGATTAGATTTTCGGGTTGAAACGTCTTAAACACCAATTTCTGCGGTGTCGTAATTAAGGTTGACTATAAATCTCTAATCGAGGACGGCTTTTCTGGGAGACGCCCTCGAGATAATTATGCGCCCAAGACAAAAAGTCGAAAGTAAAAAGGTAAAATTGTTAAAGAATCCAGGTTCTTCTCAGAATCCAAAATACACGCAGTAAACGTATAGGGAGATTTCAACATTTCCGGAAAGGGATAATATAAAAAATTCGTCCCAAATAAAAATATATTCTCCTGTTTCAGGTGAGAAAGGAAATTTCGCAGAGATTGAAAGTCTGGAAAACTGAGAAAGAAATCAACGACAAGGTACAGATCACCCAAGAATCGAAGATGAGATACTCAGAGAACTCGGGCAGCCTACCTCCTAATACAAAGCCTTGGACCTGAAAAATGCATATATATGCATCGTGCTGTATGTACTGTAGGTGTCGTATTTATGAAGTAAAGCTCATACAATGTCAGACATATTAAACCTAAAAGCGATGTAAAAATGAACAGCGCTGATGAAAACAAGTGGGCTTATACGTTACGTGTAATGTATCATATGAATATTTATTTTATATTATATAGGTTTTAGTTGAGACTATATAGACACTCCCCATGTAAAATATTTATATATATATTTATAAGTCATAATGTATTTTCTACCACAAATGGTAAAATTTCTAAAGCAATAGATTTATATAGATATTGTATCGGGACTATATAAAATAGGTAATTGATAGGCAAATAATAAACGCTTATATTCATAGCTAATTGGATGCGAGCTAGATGTCTTTATCATTCTGGTGTAACTTGATGCTATGCCAAACGTGATATAGTTAACATTGAGAAACTTATCCTGCATACCATGCATAAATATATAATAATGAATTTATTCAGGAGCATTCATATTGACAAGCGGATAACTACATGCATGCATCATTTTCAGCAACACACTTGCATACAAACGTTAAAAACGATAGCGACGAGAAAGTTATTTAATAACAGATGACTGAAGCGTATTAATTGGAAGGGTGCAATTGAATATATTGATAGATTTTACCGCAATCCGCTTCAGAATTTAGTCGTAATCAATCACACACAGATAATATTAAAGCAAAAACAAGCGGGGTAAAACATGACCCTTGAGGTACACCATGCGGAAGGGAGAAACGTTCGATCCCATTTGACGCGAATCTACCACATGTCAATCAAATATCCATCCCTACATGTCAATCAAATACCGATCCATATATATATATATATATATATATATATATATATATATATATATATATATATATATATATATATATATATATATATATATATATATATATATATATACTTGTATGTTTTGAATAAGTCTTAGCCTATTTTTAATATAAATAACAAAAACATGCACTTCTCGGCGTTTCGACCTAAGGGTCTTCGTCAAGATCGAGTTAGTATGAAACGTCGAGAAGTGTTTTTTTCAATTTTTTTTTCTATTTTAAGCATGTTGTTGTTATACCACATTCGACGAGAAGTTGTTTGAAGATGCTGCTACACTGCTCCCTATAGTTTGAGATGCATTATATTTTCATAAATAAAGGCGATTACTTTTGGATTTTTTGAAGCAAATCATAAAATTGATACTTCTTGATTGGTCTAAAATTTTGAGCTGCGAATAACAACTTTTATAACATCAAACGCCTCAATGCAACTCTGGCAGTTGCACTTCTATAAGATGCAGTTCAACTCTTGTACTCTATCTCTGAGCGGAAATTGTTACTCAAGAACGTATTAAAATGTTGAGTGACGCATTCACAGCTATTTAACATCAAAAAGTAAAAATACGAGCTCGCTTTAGTTCTAAAGGCAAACAATGAAGCAGCATTCCAGACATAGATCAACCCGCACAAAAGAAATGATGCCCTTTCCCAAATTACACTCAAGATTTAATATTATAGCTTCAACCGTTTCCTTAGATTTGCATCATAATTAAAATCGGATTGCTAATCTCTTTGAGGATTAAACATGCAGCAATGATATCATGTATACCGTTTCAATTTCTCAACAATATTTGCAATTCCTTGTCAATTTTCATGCTAATATAAAATGTCACATCGTCTCGCGTCTCCCACACATGTGATGAATTCCCATCTCGATCAATTTAATTGTCCTTTTATATACATGTTTCATGCGTTATATATATTGTTTCATTACTTCGATCTTAGTTAATTGAATAACCTGATTTGTGGGAGATAAGGCCCACTCGTTGCCAACATATTGACTAGTTTATACATTGTGTTTTCCTGTAGTCCTGCTGTGCCCTCGCACCATCTGGGCGGGCAACATGGAAAAGATAATTAAAGTGATAAGAAAGCATTTTGTTTATCAATATAAAGCTTTTGTGATTCTTGTAATGTATCTATACTTGCGCGCACAAATATAATCGATATGAGCTATAGTCATGCATGATACGCGCGTCTAGTTTTGAAATCTCACTTGAAACATCACTCCAGTAAACTTCCATACCGTAATGCTGTTGAGTGCCTTTGGACATGGTTATTTCCGAGGGATGGCATGGCTTCATGCATTAAAGCCGAGTTGCATGATTAAATGATATCGGTCGATAAATTAAAAAAGGCGTTTTATGATATAATTCCTGGCGTAAAATAAAAGGGAAAGCGTTTTTTCGTGTAACTTTATATATAGGGAACAAAAGAGCAACAAGTAAAGCTTGGTGATGACAAAATAACATGGGCGCTCAAAGAGGATTAGTTTCAAATTATTTAGCATGGTCTTAAAAGATTAACAACAGTGCATGCATGTCAAACTGTGCGATGTATTGCTAGTAAATATTCTCGTACAATAGAAAGCGTCGGAGGCTATTAAATGACAACCATAAAGCGATTGAAGGAGGAGCTATATATATAGGTCTTTGACATCGAACACAGCCGAAGAAGATTCGGAGAAAAGCAATAAAAATTTTCTAGTATTTATACAGATATACTGACATCGACTTGGTCATAAGCTCTCGCTGAAGTGTAACACCCGCGCAGCATGAATTCGTTGACGTTATAATCGGTTTGATTATACAAAGAAGAAGCCATTAACTTGTCATGTGGTTCCGGTTGTGAAGCGTCGAAGTAGAGTATAATATACTAAGGGAGACTCAAGGTAAACAAATTCCAAGCAGAGTCGCAAACGATCGAAAATAACTAGCGACAGGATACACAGAGTTAATTGGGCAAAAGGAAGGCTTTGGCGCTTACGCGTGGGCATTAGCACAGTTGCTATGCGGCACTTATTCTGCTGAAACTGGAAAGGTTAAATTCGAAAAGCGTCGAGTCAGGGTGCGTGCATGTGAAAGGCGAAACATCGTGTAGGAAGTTGAACATTCTAAGCTTGAACGACTCCGCATATAGCAGTGTTGTGGTATCCTTGCACGTGTAAGGAGCTTGATGCGGATATAAAATTGTGATTTTTTTATGGTAACCAAAAATTTCATTGGACAAGACAAAGCCAAGGTAAGGGACAATCGCGTGGTTGATTGTACAATTTGATGCTCGATTTGATACAGATATATGCATGTCTCATTGAAGAAGTATTTGAAGTATATAGTCTAGAAGTATTTCAAGTATATATATAGTCTCGTAGTACTATTGTTGTTCACTGACCTTTGTAGCTTTTAAGTATAATTGGTCTCAACCAAGTATGTAAAGTAGATGTGAAAACAAATACACAATAAGCTAATTGTGTTACGCCTGTGATGCCATTATCGAATATTCCAATTTCAGTAAATAGAGAGCATTCCTGCCTACAGTATTCAATAACAATTTAGCAGTCGGAAGGGGTATAACGGTCCTTAGCGCTAAATAGATTTTGAAATCGACGGAATATATGATGTCCGCACGCTAGCTATATATAGATAGCTATATTTCGGAGATTTCAACGAAGTGTGGAAATAGCTTTGGTAAGAATTACAGGTTCCATACAAGTTTCGTTTTACGTTGTAGAGTAAGCAAATCTTTTCACTTCCGCTATACAGAAAGAAAAACTCGCTGACATTAATCTGGTTGAAATATTTGTCAACTAGCATACAGACAAACAAGAGATTCAAAGGATTAGGCCACCACATCATATAGAATTGTTTTTCCACTGGCACTGTCGACGATGAATGGGTTATCAAACCACGACATGGCGCTGACGCTACTACGCGAGGAAAACAAGAATCTCGAAAAGGCGCTTAAAGTTCTACAGTACGATGACAACGACAGCCGGGCACGTATCAGACAGTTGTTGATTGAAAACGACGTTCTCAAACTTGAACTGAAGAGAGAGCGGGAGACGAACGAGGTCTTGAAGAAGTACATGAAACGACAAGATCGGTTTATCGCCTATCTAAAGGAACACAGAAATAGTTGGCAAGAGGAAAAAACTAGTAAAGGTACGGTGGGGAGCGTTAGACATTTGGCGTTATCCAGAAAGAGATCAAATTCCATGCCAAAATGAACACACCGTCGGGCGCTGAAAGCCTGATTTATAGATGACTCGTATACACATGTATATATTCTTAGTCAGACACAGACTTTCAGGCGCAGAGGAAGTCAATGTGAGATTTAAATATTTGGATATATGTACACATTTGGGTGAAAACGGAAAAATCACTGCACCAGTTTGTAAATAAAAGAACAAAACAAATACACTCCGACGAATGTATGGTTAACAATTTCTCATGCAGGTCGACATAGTAGACAGAAGGTGATGATAAAAAAACACCGTCTAATATCTGTGATAAATTGTATTTCAAAATTACCAGAAAGCTTACGCGTATTAGCATATATGTATATCATCAAAGCATCATTAATGCCACATATAGTGGTGAAATTAGAAAGACAGCGTGACAGTAATAATCGACCTCGTCAAATATGAAAACTCATTTCGCCGTACAATTTTCAAAATGAAGAAAACCCGTTTAAGATAAAGATAAGATATAAAGATAAACTCGCTTAAGATAAAGTTTTCTATAGAAATAGCTTTCTCGCGTAAGAACACAAATACTGTAACGCATCTTGATGAATATTCTATGAGTCGGAAATTGTTTTTTAAAAAAAGAATGTCTTCGTTGTTGCTATGGCAACAAATTGTTCCCATGAGGCTGACATCCACAGTGCCTCCTCCACAGCTCCTTTCTCAGGGCAAATTCACAGACGGTTATATTTATATAGCCTGCCTCTAGCCGAAACTCCCTCGAAACATCTGCGGAGGAGGGGGCATTAAATTTTAACGCCTTCTACTTGAAAAAATCTGATTATATATACTCAAGTTTGTAAAATACAATCACAAACAGGGGTTTCATTTGAATGAAATAGGTTGAAGGGGAAGTTGTACGATTCCGTACCCCAACAAGCAACCTCTTCGCAAGAAAGTTCAATTTAATTCAAAAGTATTGTGGTACTGTCATGTAACAAAACAAAATGATGACCAAAAAAGTAAAAATATGTCAATGTGTATATAGTTATATATATAATTTCAAGTTGGGTACGAATGAAATTGGTGAGGATGAAATTTGGATCATCTATATTGAGTTCGCCTAAATATTTCATCAATTTTATCCATAGCAAGCCTAAATTTGAACATGGTGTGAACGGATA